CCGCAGCTTCTAATACAAATTTTACACTACTAACAGTAACAATTCTTGATTATGTTATTGTGGTCTGGGTAATTCGATTCATGTCTTTAAATGGCCAGTAGCTTAGATGTATAGGGATTTACTTGGATTACTGTCATAATAACTTAATACCATCTAGATCTCTCTGCTATCACTTGAACTTCAGATAATAGAAGATTTGATGAAAATTCATCAGTGTCAATGTTTCCAATTCTGAAATGTTTTCAATTAAATAAATAATTCTGGCAGCTGCTTTGTAATGTAATCAGGCTTCCATATCTTATTTTCACAAAGATAGGTTATGGTAATTACAGTCGGTCAGTTTGTTTTCTTATTTTCTGAAACATACGATACTACCACATGATAGTTTTTGTAAAGCTTGATTATTTTTCAGCTAATAAAAAATAATTAGCATAATAACTTGTTAATCCTGTTTATCGCATTTTTATCTCAATAATTTATCAAATATATATATGTTAAAAGTGTCATATTTAAATTATCAAGCTAATTTCCCTTCCTCATCCCTTCCCTTTCTTCCGGGACAAAAAAATTATTCGTCAAATTTAATGGTACAGTTATTTCTTGGTCGTTTCCTTAAACTGAATTTAGTTCAATTTCTCTTCAGATATACTCAAGTTGCCATCCTTGACCTGAAAGTTTATTCAATCATTTCTATATTTTCCTTCAGTGTGTGGATAAACAGTAATTTATTAGCTCTGCGCCTGGGACTCATATGTACATGTAGGATATGAAATGATAAAATAGCTTCACTGGTAAATACAGATTAAATTATAATCTTCATCACTCATATTGTTCACACTGATTGACAAGTTTGTTTTGATTTAATGCCGAATGCAGTGTGTAGTTACCTGAGAGAAAATCAGTAAAATTATCACAGATTTTCGGCAAATGTACGCATGTGATGTATTGAGTTCTACCGTCTACAAGTATGCTCGTTCATGTCCGGACTTGGCTGGCTGACTGTAGTTGAACCTTAAAATCAGTATCCAGTGTCGGTCAGACACGTGTATAATATTGCCATCCAGGACAAGAGATGACCCAGATACAGATTACTGTGTCAATCAACATCACTGAATTTAAATAGCAAAGCAATCAGCTCGGTGACTTGGGACATGGTTCACCTGCATATGTCCTTTGTTGTTCCCTCGCACAAAGCCACATTGTAATGACTGTATACAGAGTCTCGCTGTGGGCTTTGAATCGCCCTGGTATGTCTGCATGAAATGTATCAGGTCCAGAAATGATTAATGAGGCTGCAAGTCTATTTTCTCTAGTAAGACTTAATAATGCTGGGTATGCCTGGGTACAATGAATGGCTGATATATATATATATACATATACATAATGTGAAAAAAGGGTCACCTTCTGTTGGCGTCTTTTGTTGTAGCAGTTCAACTGGTGTGTTGTATTTTGAAGTGGTGTATCTTATTTCCAGCTTTTCTTCACCTCCTCCATGGATTTGGTGATGATATTGTCTGTTAGTTTAGCTATCCCAGTATGCACTGCAGCTGATTTGACATTCCTAATTTCATTTATTAAATGGTGTGTATATTAGATTGATCTTCTGATTCCAGTTGAAATGTTGTTGCAATATTTGGCGTTTGTTTATTTCTGTAATATTTGGCGTTTGTCCATGTGTGTAATATTTGGCGTTTGTCTATTTCTGTAATATTTGGCGTTTGTCCATGTGTGTAATATTTGGCGTTTGTCTATTTCTGTAATATTTGGCGTTTGTCCATGTGTGTAATATTTGGCGTTTGTCTATTTCTGTAATATTTGGCGTTTGTCCATGTGTGTAATATTTGGCGTTTGTCTATTTCTGTAATATTTGGCGTTTGTCTATTTCTGTAATATTTGGCGTTTGTCCATGTGTGTAATATTTGCCGTTTGTCTGCATAACCTTGAAGTTTGTTATATTAGCCCTGGTGGTAGATTATCGCAGTTGTCATTAATTATTAGACAAATACTTGTGTGTTTACATACGCCCATGTTTTGTTGGTCATTCTGCAATGACTTGTACATTTCGATATTCGTTATCCACCTTCCTCCTAAGTAAGGTAGGTTTGTTAGTTATTACCGTGTAGTTTTGAAAGTTAAAATTTAACATCTGTTCAATGATCAGAATCGTGTGTTTGAGTGCTGTCAGTGTTGCTGCTTTGTGTACAACTGTATCAACTGTATAGGTTGGTTAAATCATAACAAGTTCTGCCATCTTCTTTCTTTCTCGCAACTAAGGTGTTCACCACCAGTGCGATTGTGTCTCTTTCTGATATGAAGCAAGGAGTCAAATGTTATTTGGTCGATCGCACATCTTTGTCAACTGTGTTTTTTTTTTCTCTCTCTCATCACAAGCCTTCTTCTCTTTCGCTTTCCAACCATCATGGTCCTTACATGTACCTCTGTTGTTCCATAGTGACATTAGATCAGCTATACTGTTACACTGTGTCGTAACTATAAGCAAAATGACGATGGTTTTCTGTGCTTGCTTCTCATAAGTAAATTTTGAAACTGAGAATTGTGCGTTTTGTAAGATCTTATTTATTATTATAGCGTTATTGACGATACTGGAATAATTACAGTTTCAGGATTTTTTTTTTTCAAATATCATGCATAGCCAGTTTTGATCGACTCATTTTGTGGCTCATTTAAAATTTCTGGCATTTTGCGCTTTTCTAAAAAAAATTTTTTATGATTTAGTTGATATCAGAAAGTTCATATCACCGTCTGATATTATGCTTCAGAATAAATCGTGACAGCAAGTCACAACATCAATATTCAAATCAAAGGAGTCATAAACTGATGTTTCGTCATTTCTATTTCTAGAACTGTCAAAGGCCAATCCACCCTTCAAAGTCAACAAGTTAAAAAACTGTCATCGTTTTTAAGCATATGCAGATTTACTTGTTGTCATGCGTAAAACGTGTGAAATTTCTCTTCCATCTTTGACTACATTGAGGAAGAAATTTTTTGCAAGTTTGTATTTACTGAGCAGAATGCAATTTTTCATCTTTTTGTCGTATGCTGTGTCAGTCCTGTTTATTTGACAAATCTTCTGTTCCTGGCAGTCGTGTACCAGTGTCTATTTCAAGATCAAGTTATGCATAAATAAATTGTAGATTGTTTTAATTGATTTCATCAGAGCTAATTATTTCTATATACCAGTAAATATACGTTGTGTGTTCTGATAATAATAACAGAGTGACCTTCACGAGGTCACATCAGCCCAATGACCTTTGTTCCCACCCTTGTTTTCTGTCACTGTACCTGCTCAGTGTTCTATATTCTTCTCAAAAGTTGTATCAAATACTGTAAAACCATTTATTTTCACTGGCATACAATTTCACTATTTTGACATTTTAAAAAATTTCACTGGGTTTTAAAGTTCACAAACTTGTTAAGGAAATAATGAGTTCTATTGTTATTCTACAAGTTCATATGGATTTAATTTAGCAAATGTCAACTACCAATGAAAATAGCTAAATTAAAAACCAGTGAATAATTAATAATTTTACAGTGTTTATTTTTCTTTTACCCTGAACTTTAGGTGCAAAGTTTGTACGTTTTAATTATTTTCCTATAATTTCTTTGTTAATTTTTAGACCTAATTACCACTCTAAATTTCTATAGGCTACAGGGCTTGATCGAAATTATTGATGAAATCTGAAAACATTTTTTTGGTCTTACTTTGTGAAAGTTGATATTGAAGTTGACTTCGGCCACTGATCACATATCCCAAAATCTGAAATTGAGGTGGCATGGTTTAGGCAGTTTGTGATTCTCTGCAGTGACGCTATTGTATATCAGGTGATGTTAGTTCCAGACAATGTCTACATGGTTATGTAGTGTCTATATCTCTTGTAATGTATACATGCCTCCGTGAAGTGTCTAGTGTTCTTTCTCTTCCCTAAAAATAGTTCACTTTCATAACCACATAAGGTCACACATCCTGGTATTTTTGGTGGTATGACAACATCACAAACATGCACAATTAAGGCATTTTAATGTATATTTATGTTGCCAACAGAAACATTTTATTCAAGTAGTTAAATCAAATAATCAAGTCTTGGAAATTGCGTTGAAATATCAATAGAATAAAATTATTTTTGATTTTCATACCTACAGATGTACCAGGATGTGTGACCTTTTAAAGGTCATGAAAGTGGACTATGGTGGGCAGCATGATGGTTATGTAATAATAATTAGTATAGTAGATTATTTTAAAACAAAAGCCTTCATTAGCATATGAATTAATCTTAATTGTCTTCTAGAAAGTTTATGCACTGCAAAACTCAAAGGTGCCGAGAGGGAAAGTTGTTCCCTTAGTGCGTGTATAGTTTCTGTGGTGCCGGCTAGATCCCCAGCATTGAAATGAATTCCTGCACATGGAATTAAACTGTTTCCTTTTTCCTGCCATCGTTGAATGGATGTATGAGGAAGTAAGGCATCTGTAGGCACAATCTTTCTTTCAACATAAAGTATGTCTAAGTCAATTAAAATGCCTGTGATATTTTTAAAATTATACCGCATCTTTTGCGCAAGTCTGCAAAACCTTGGAGACTTGAAACCTGCAGGTTTTGCTTTGAAGTTTAGTAATCATGTGGAGAATGGCATAAGAGCTCCATTGAACTTGCACGAAATAATAAGATATACTGCATTTCACAATTGCTTAGAATTGTTGACAGTCTTGTATGCTAGGCTTTACGAATTACTGATCATGATAGCTACATTGTTAAGGTAGTTGCGCTTGTCTTGTATATTTGAATGTTGGACCTTAGTTCAGAGTGAGGTTGACTGTCATTAGAGGTACATACAGTATTTGTGGATCCAATCTGCTATTAACCTAGGGTCAGGGCAAGTCGCAATTGAGAAATGACATCACTGACGTATATGATCTTATTAAAAATAATACAAAAAAATTTCCCATTCCATCATCTCATTCTAATAATTCTTATGTCTTACAGACTCTTGTATATTGATGAAACAGCGAGTATCTCGATGTGAAATCTTAGTAGATTTCGTAGTGATAGTTGAATAATTACTGCTGTCGGCGAAACCAACACTGGGGTAGAACAAATTGCCACAATCGCAGCACGATGCCATCGCTTCCCACTCGGGTGTCCAATATAAAAGATCCAAATGTGCAAGCTCTCTTCTCCGACGATGATCCTGAAAAGTTGTTTGAAGATCTACGAGAAATTGGACATGGCAGCTTTGGCGCTGTCTATTATGTGAGTATTTTGTATCGAAAATAATTTTTATTAGCAATGTCTTGTGTGTGTTAACATGTCAAAATATATCTGACGGTTTATTACCCTTAACTTTTTTAGTGGCATAATTTTTTTTTTGAGTTAAATTTTGCTAATTTTTGTTTTGCGATAATTTTGGATTATGAATAGAATCCCCCCCCCCCCCCCATTGGCTGCCGACCTTGATTAAGATTATCAACAAACAATGGAAAAACAATTACTGGTTTTTGTTCTGTGGATGAAAGTCGTCTTTTGCGCTCAAAGGCTCAAAGTAGGTGTATACTGATGTAAATGTTCACGGTACTAGATGAAAGTAAAACTATAGTGCTCTTTGTTCTGTAGGCAAGAAATACCAAGACCAATGAGGTAGTAGCTATTAAGAAGATGTCGTATAATGGCAGACAATCACATGAAGTAAGTTATATACAATGCTCGGACAAATTTGGTGCCTGGGGTGCTGGGGGTTATTTGTGCAAGGTTAATATCCTCTTGGCAAGAGGATACAATCGCCCATATTTGGCGTGTAACATTTGTTTCTGCACTCTCCATACTTATACACTGTTCTGTAATACAAACCAGAAATGTGGCATCTATCTTGCATAGCAGTGGCACATGCAACGGCCTCACTATATGTTACTTTTGTATTATTTTTTTTTTTCAAATTTGCAAGAATATAAAGTAAAGATTATTTAATTGTATTCAGTGATATTATCACCTGTCCCTGTTACAGGGAGTAATTATCAATGTATTTTTTTCTTCTTTTTTTCTCATCAGAAATGGCAAGACATTATAAAAGAAGTAAAGTTTCTGAGTCAGTTGAAACACAGACACTGTATAGAATATAAAGGTTGTTATCTTAGAGAGCATACAGCATGGGTAGGTGTTTTCATCTTGTCTAGTCTTTCCTGACCTGTAATCAGTTTGCCCCAACTTTCTCTGTCTGTAAATGTAGCCAGATAGTTTGACCCACCTTTCTCTCTCTGTAATTGCAGCCAGATAGTTTGACCCACCTTTCCTTCTCTGTAAATGCAGCCAGATAGTTTGACCCACCTTTCCTTCTCTGTAATTGTAGCTAGATAGTTTGACCCACCTTTCCTTCTCTGTAATTGTAGCCAGATAGTTTGACCCACCTTTCCTTCTCTGTAAATGCAGCCAGATAGTTTGACCCACCTTTCCTTCTCTGTAAATGTAGCCAGATAGTTTGACCCACCTTTCCTTCTCTGTAATTGTAGCCAGATAGTTTGACTCACCTTTCCTTCTCTGTAATTGCAGCCAGATGGTTTGACCCACCTTTCCTTCTCTGTAATTGTAGCCAGATAGTTTGACCCACCTTTCTCTCTCTGTAAATGTAGCCAGATAGTTTGACCCACCTTTCCTTCTCTGTAATTGTAGCCAGATAGTTTGACCCACCTTTCCTTCTCTGTAATTGTAGCCAGATAGTTTGACCCACCTTTCCTTCTCTGTAAATGTAGCCAGATAGTTTGACCCACCGTGACATTATGAAGACATAGTTGTCATTGACTGCCCCACTGTCACAGTATCTGGCTCAGTTGTACTTTCATGTTACTTCCTGTAGTAACATGAGGGAATTGATGTATTGGTAAATTCAGCAATAGTGAAGGTTGAAATTAACTCTGTATCATGTGGTTAATAATGTCTGATTAATTTCAACTTTCACCCAAATACATGAATGAAAAAACCAAAGCCAACTTTTGTCACATTTCACAAAACTCAGAATTTGTTTCTTATTTGTCCGTAAATTTTATTAAGATGTTTTTGAGTTCTGTATCTATTCAATAACAGTGAAATTTGGCACACAGTATAAAAACTTTTAAATTAAAATTTTTTTCTGTACTTTCCGCTTCATCCATGTCTTACGTAATAATGCTTATTATCTCTGCAGCTGGCAATGGAGTACTGTATCGGGTCGGCATCTGATATTATTGAAGGTAAGCAGAAGTTGATTGATTTTTTTCAAGTGGCTCTTCCCTATATATTACTCTTGTAATGAGTGCCTAGAAAATCTCATCAGATTGTTATATATCATATATCTGAAAAAATTATTATCTGCATTGTACAAGGGTCACTATGTGTCATCTATTTTGTCATTTCTAATTGCTTTCTATAAATAGATGCATATAGCTTTATTACAAACGTGTGTAGCATGTGTTGCATAATAATTGAATTGTGGATGATAACCGTGGGCAGTATGGTTATGAGTTACTACCTCAGCGATCAAATATACTAGTTATTCTTTACTGTAATATTTAACAGTAAAATTATTTCACTCGGCTGACACCGATATATTTGAATGTGGATACCATAGAAGTATACCCACCCTCATTCCGGACCTGATCATCTTGGGAGATATGTCCTCCTTGGTGACATTCATGTTATTTCAATACACGTGTAATTGTCAATGCATCAATAATCGCGTCTCTATCAATGATGTAAATTTTACATTAAAATCTTCAGCCTCAAAAGGGAAGTACCGTACTTTCCCGAGTATAAGCCCAGGGTCCTGAACATGTAAAATTAGGAAAAGTAGGGGGGTGGGCTTATACTCGAGGACCACCTCAGAAAAGATAATATTTTGGGGGGTTTAAAATTGTAACCATCTTTCCAACACCGAAAAATTATCCAAATTACATTTTTCGTTCACAGTGCCAGCCTTTGAGAAATATTACGTCTTTTTGATTTCCACTACACTTTTTACAATGAAGAAACAAATATGTTCATAAAAATACACACATTTTATTACAATTCGATTTACATATCGTCTGAATTTTCGGTGCAAAAATGGGTAGCGTCTGTGGGAAAAGTGTCAATAGCAAGATCTTTATCATTATCTTTGTTGGAATGTTTTCAATCGTACGCAAACTCTCGATACAAAGCAATTTCCGCCATGGTGTTTTCTATCATGATTTGACCTGAACAACTTCCTTTGACCTAATAGGTCACGTCTTTCGTTAACCAATCAAAATGCTGTGTCGTACAGACGAAGGTTTCCGATTATTGACGAAGTAATTTTTTCAACGCAATGCGGAAGTGAATTACCGCGATGTTAAAATGCGATCTGATTTCAATAAAAAATGGTGATTTTTTTCCCTATAGCTGTTGACTCGCAATTTTAGAAAGGTAAACTGGAGTAGGGGAAGTATTTAAACTTTTCACGGTCTCCAACAAGTCATGTTGGCGAATATTTTGCTCGTTCACATCCCATTCACGAAGGTCTCAATGGACACGATTATTCGGAAAAGTAAAACGATGTTCAATGACCAGGTTTCATGACTTGACGATCACATTTTTGGAGTTTTGGAGTACTTACCAAATTACAAGCCACAATTCTGAATTTTCCATTCATTTTAAGTTTTCCAAATTCTCATTTCAGTTCACAAGAAGCCGTTAGCAGAGATTGAGATATCGGCCATATGCAGCGACGCTTTAAAAGGTCTTGCGTATCTCCACGCTAATAACCGAATTCACAGAGATGTCAAAGCTGGGAATATTTTACTGACTGATAATGGCACAGTTAAATTAGGTGAGTTTTTAGTCCAGTACCTAGTTTAGTAAATTTTAAATAGTTATTACATGATTTTTTTCCGACCCAAACATCTACATGTATATTCGTCATTAAGGGGCACATCTATTCATGATGAAACGCTATAAATTCTATGGGTTATCTTGCAACCAGTTCCAATGAAAATTGGTAGTGTTCTGCTACCAAGGACAGGTGTCAATATTCACACATTTTAAACCCACATCATTTTTTTGTTGTTTTTCCAAAATATTGATCATGACTTGTAGCAAATAGAAATTATGTATATTTTGTTCAAAATTATGAAAACAGTTTTTAAAAAAATACATAAAAATGTTGCACCACAATTTTGTCCCGAAAAATTATGCTGCTCAAAAAATTAAGTCATTTCACTGTCTGTCATGGTTTAATACATTAGTTTTAATATTAGTTAAAGGAAAAAATAGACAAATTTGGTACAATCAGTAAGTAACATGTTGCTTGGAGTGCTAACTACCATAATTCCTTCTTTTCTTCTTTCACAGCTGACTTTGGTTCAGCCTCCTTTGCGTGTCCGGCCAACTCATTTGTGGGCACTCCATATTGGTAAGTAGTTTCAATCTGTCGCAGCAACTGAATATGCCGCTTTACGACTTTTCTGTTTAAAACAACATTTCAACATTGAAATAAAACAAAGATGAAATTATCACGACAATTAAAATCAAGCGTCCACATTGTCCTGTAACTTAGTATGCTTGAAGGACAGGAAATCGGGGAAAAAAATCTGGTTGTCAGAAATTTGTTATAAATTTTTCTTAGCTTAAAGAGATGATCATTGAGTAGCCAGGAAATTGAAATATATCATTCAAAACTTTACTGTTACTTTTCTTTTCACCTTTTACAAAATAACCACCCAATTTTTTTCCAAATTTTGTCAAAGATTTTGACTGAATAGCCAGGAAATTAAATAACTGTTTTTGTTGAAAAATGTCAAAAATCAAGAATTTTGTGGGGACGATATAGTGTTTAAAAAGTCAATACATGGTTGCTGTAAACTGGTATTCATATTACAAACAGTTGAGTTTCCTTTCAAATGTTGATTCTTCGGCACAAAAAGTAAAACGCAAGTCCCCACATTCACCAATGAATTGTTATTCTTGATGACTTTTAAAGGTCAGTGACATTTTATACCAATTTGTTACCTTCTTGTCTGAGCAATGAATGTATTAGATGCAACACTGAATAGAGTATTGTACCGCTAATGTGTTACATGTGTGTTTAATGTTTTTTTAGGATGGCTCCTGAGGTCATATTGGCAATGGACGAAGGTCAGTATGATGGAAAAGTTGATGTCTGGTCGCTAGGAATTACATGTATTGAATTAGGTAAGTCAAAAATCTGCAAAGAAACAGGAGTGACTTTGATTTGTGTAATATTAACATGTTGAACTTTGTAAGAAGCAACAAAAATGTTTTTTTTTTTGGTGATCAAAATCGTTAACCTTTTTATTTTAATTTTGAATAAACGTACACCTACCAAAAAAATGACAGTTTAGTTAATAAAAAGAGTTGTTAAAATAATTAGAGATTAATATTTATGTATTTTCACACATATTCGCTAAAATCGACTGGCAGGATTGTTTTGTAAATTCTTTTTCAGAATTTTATCATCAAACACAGAACGGCAAAAATCAATATAGAAATTACTCAAAAATATAATTTTAAATATGCCAAATATCAGAATGGCTAATTTTTATTGATTGTTGTATCACAATTAAAAATTACTTCAAGAATGCAAAATTAACTTTCATTTTTGATAAGCTGAAATATCCGGAATATATTTAATTATAAAATTTCACATGTTTTAAATGCATTCCAGATTTATGCATTGGTTCATTTGAAAAGAAACGTTTTAAAGGTGCATCTCATCTTTGTATCGATATAAGTCGTGACGCTAATTAATGCAAATCTACAATTTCCAGAATAGCCTGTTTTTTTTGAGGAAATTAAAATTTGTGTCAGTTCCTTCTCCTTTCAGCATTTTTTCCTGCGCTGCTGCCGCTGTCATGTAATGACTAGTTGACCTGACATAATACTTCACGTCGTTTTACACAAATGATTGATTCAGTCCTTATTCGTCAAATTAGTAATGTGATTTATTTTCAATTCATTGCACTGACATATGTAGTTGACTCGCAATATGTCATTCTTTCTTTTTCTTGAGGCAATTCAGATAATTAATAACTAAATCATCCATTTACTTGAAGTACCTCAGGTGCCAAATAATTCTACTTGATGCTGAAGCTACTCCATGACTGAAAACCGCTTTTCGTTCATGAAAGAATTTTTTTTTGTGCAAATTCAGTCAGTGAGATTTTCACAATTGTGTAGCAGTGAGAATACCAGTATTGTTGTAGAAACTTACAAAATGTTGTCCTCACTCAAGTTTTCCATTAAATTATCAAACAATGAAAAACCTAGCAACAAAAATTAAGCGTTTTACAGTATTTGCTATAATTTACATTTTCAACTTGTAACATGTAACATATTGGTTAGATGCTCTATTTACAAAGAACTATGGATGATTTCGTTATATAATGAGATTACAGTAAAAGAATTAATTATTCACTGGGTTTTAATTTCGCTTATTTCGCTGACTGGAAAATGTGCTAAATTAAAACCCAGTGAATATTTAAAATTTAGCATAGAACACATTATCTAAATGATAAAACCGTGAATTTAAAACCCACTGAATATGCCTGAAATTGTAAATTTAAACCTAGTGAATATTAGTCATTTTACAGTATTTTGGATTATTTTATTGTCTGGATCATTGCTATGTTATCAGACAATTGTTCAAAATGGTAAATTGTTGTTGAGTTTCATTACGCTGTGATGTATGTGACTATTTTGGAAATAAAAAATGTAAGGTTTGTAATAAGATATTACAGCCATGAAATGGCCATTAATCAACACTAGCCTCAGGAAAATAATCTTCTACGTTTTGACACAAATTGGCAATAAATGTATATAAAGTATACTATTAATGTAAAATCAGTTCATGTGTTTAAAACTTTCTCATTTGTCACTTACTGCATCAACCTGTGTGTGGAAAATGTTCCATGTCCCTTGATGTGACATCGCCTGTGAGCCGTGCATAACTGATTCAAAATTAACACTTCTACTTTAGTAAAACATGGAATCTGTTAAAGCTCAACACATTCTTCGTTTTTAAGGACAATGAGTAACTAACCTTTCAACCTCTAGACTTTCTCGCCCAAATTTTTCTGAACCCTTTATCTTATATTTTTCAATGTTCCTAGAAATGAACCCTAATTTTAAAGCCAACAGACAAAATTTGTGTTGATTTTCATTTTTTACTCAAAAAAAAATTAGGCTATTTGTGTTCAATATCCTGAAGGAAAGTGCAGACTATAAACGAGACTATTTTGTGAATTTGTGATGAAACAATGACTTTGTGATTTCTCTATAGCATTAAGCCGCCTCAAATCAACCGTGATCTATTGTTTCTATGACACATCGAGATGCTAATTTAGAAATTTGTAACAATCAGTATATATATATATATATTTATTTTTGTTCAGCGGAAAGAAAGCCACCACTATTCAACATGAACGCTATGAGTGCACTGTATCATATAGCACAGAACGATCCGCCAAACTTGAGTGCCGAAACATGGTCAGATGCGTTTCGTGACTTTGTAGACACTTGCTTGCGAAAAGATCCTCTCGATCGGCCGCTAGCAGAAGAGCTTTTATCTGTAAGTATGTCACATGGCATGGTGTGTATTTATATCAGTCTTTCAAAATTATTTAAACTGCAAAATTATCAATATTTAATATTTTAGACTACCAACAGAAATAAATAGCTCTAATTTTCCCAAATTATTCTTATTTACCCATACAGAAACAGTTTTGTACAAAGGACCCGCCTTCTTCTGTTATAATAGACCTGATAGAGAGGACAAAAAATGCTGTTGAGAAGCTAGATCATTTGAATTACAGAAAAATGAAGAAATTACTTGGTTACATTGACAATGCTGGTCATGATCTGCCAGTGGACGATGGAATTCAGGTAAGTGTATATATATATATAATATTTGATGTTTTGTACCTCAAACAGAAAGAACCGTAATACACATTGTGCACGTTTCTACAATGCGAGAACTTCTGCTTGATTCTGCCAGCAACTTGTTATCTGATTGGAAGTCTAGTGTTTCAGTAAGCTCTTGTCACCATTAACGGACATGCTATTAATTTTTATGATCATGTGACAGTGTGTAAAGTCATTTAGAAATCTGATAGGTGGGATAATTGTTAAAGTTCACTGATATCGAAACACCGCAAATACAGCAATAATATCGACACCGTTGCATGTTTTATTGTATATCTCTATTTTCCTTTCAGGATCACGTCTTTCCAGTTTCTGATCAGAAATCCAATAGTGTAAATAGCCAGCAAAGTAGCAGTGTTAGCGGTAGTGTTAATAGTTTGCCTGGGGCTACGTCTGAAGTTGAAGACCAATCAATTGGAATTCGCAGGGTGAGTGATTAGTACCCCCTCACATGACCAGTTCCGCATTTCTTTTTGTTTTTATCAGCATAACTCAATCCTCTGGTATTTCATAGTGTGTTACACCCAGGTTTCTTGGTTACTCTAAGGGGTTCACTTTTAATGTTTGTAGTTCAGTCCCACTTTTCTCACCATATTTCCTTAGTTTTGCATGAAAATTATTTAATTTCTTTAACATACAGAAACTATTCACTTGATTCCTTCTCTCCTTCCCTAATGTCTGGTTCTTGATATATTGGAGAATATTGATTGGAATTCATAATTTTGATATATTCTTCAATCATATGCCTGATTTCAAATCTTCATTTCATTGTTTTGCAATATACCATATGCATGACCCCTAAAGGTCACACATCCTGGTACTTTCTGGGAGACAAATTCTCCATCAGTGAGAATTTCCCTATTTTGTATAGGATAATAGTACCCCCAGAAATTACCTACATGTGTGTGACCTTTAGGGATTATGCATAGTGTTTGTTGGTTAACTATTTCCTCACTGTTAATTTACATAAAGTAGTCTCATTTGCTTATTACAATTAAAGGAATAAAGTTCTCAAAACTTGTACGTTATATCAAATTCTGTCTGGGTCCTAAATTGAAATTGAATAATGTGAAATTGTGAGGGAAAATATTTTCCATTTTGTGTTTATGAGGACTGAAGTAGAGACTGTATGACTCCCTGTCAAATGAACCTTGGTAAAAGTTTAAATTCTGAGTCATGTTACAGTACTAAACGGCTTTTATTTTATGAGACAGAAATTGTAAATTGGGAGTCACTGACTTTTTCTGGGATTCTAAGGAGTCTCAGTGATTTTCTGGGGTTCTAGGGAGTCACAGTGACCTTTTCTGGGGTTCTGGGGAGTCACAGTGACTTTCACTTGGTTCCTAGGGAGTCACAGTGACTTTCACTGGGGTATTCAAGTCACAGAGACTTTTACTGAGGTTCTAGGGAGTCACAATGATTTTCATACAAGTCAGCGGTTTGCTGTATTTTGCTTTTATATTTTATGCATTTATTTATATTTTTTATTGCCAAGTGTAAATAAAGTGATGTGCAGATTGTTGCCATGCATGCACTATCATCTATACGTTTTTCCAATAATGATGTAAATCTGGTGGTAATCGTCATTCTTTGAAGCACAAATCAACATGTAGTGTAAATGATTCAGTTGTACTCGGAAACGATCCAGGCTTAGTAGCAGACTCTTATCTATTATATTGCCACACACACTTCACTTCCTGATTTCTCTTCTTCTTTCCGTCTGCAGCTTTGCTGCACTCAGTTTTCTCCTTCTAGTCTAAGAGTACGCAAAAGATACTCATACCACTTTACCCGCTCTCCAATCGTAAATATCACTCTTTTTTTTATATCTGCCTGCGATCTTTATATTAATGCTAATCTCCATGTTGTTTAATTTACTGATTTTACTTGGTTTTGAATAATTAACTTGAAGCATGCTTGCTTTTGCTGCTACAGTTCACCGATGCTTTAATTTATTCCCGCTCTTGTTATTTCTCCATTTCTCATTTCATTACAGCCCCTCCCCCAAATATATTTCTTTAGACAGTTCTCACCGTCTGTACTTCCTGTTGTCTATACTCAGCTTGGACGTGGACTTGAAACAAAAACAAAAAACATACATGGATGGTTTGTGATTTCAATTTATGGAATGTTAATCCACAGCATCCGTTCCATTTTATAATATCGCCGAAAGCTTATTGTTTTACCCCGGAACTGCAATGACACTAAATTCATTTCATGTTCTGCTCTCTCCACTGTATATTTCTATCTTTCATGCAGTATACGCACATAAATGAACGGAAATGGTCCGAGTTAAGCATGATTAGTCTCGTAAGTTTCACTCGGCTGTTGTATGTTGGCGGCATGCTATCTTTTAACTGTGTCTTATTGTAACTATTATTCTAATATTTAATGCTTGTATCAATCATGATAATATTTCTTTAATTTCTAATCGTATGTTATCGGTAAGCATGTCTAAGTTCTAAGGATAGCAAGTGTTCAATTCTGCTGTAGTGCGGTTCAACTGATTGTAAAAATGTTGTATGCATGTATGTCTTGTGCTCGCTGAGTTTGATGGCATCAATAGGTGACGCTTACTTCCCTGTTGGCGTCTGTAGATATCGTGTTCTGTCTTTCGCTTTGCATCGTCACTTTAGACTGGATCTACATCCAGTTACCGTTTGTTAAACATTGATAAGAACTGTAACTTGTTAGTAGTGGGAGTGGCTTTAGATCTTATAGGGATTTCGAGTCAAAATAGAATCCAAACTCAAGTTGGGTTCGAGAAAATATAAAACCAAAATGTTCTTCTGATTTTTTTTCTCCTTAAACTTATTGTTTCTTATCAAATAACATATTCTACAACTATAGTTACCAGTATACTACTCTTTGCCTCGTTGTTCTACGGATGGAACTTAGTTTTCGGTAGATCCGCATTTACTTGGAAAGTACTTTTTCCTCA